GTGTGTGTGTGTGTGTTTAAAGCTTGTGAAATGGAAAAGCACTGTATCAAAAAGTCACCATCAGACTAGGAGAAAATGCATACAGGCAGCAATATCTCAGGGACTCAACCAACACACATAGAATTGGAAAAGAGATATCAAGTATATTAAAATCATGTCTTGGTCTCTTTGAGTCACTTATCTTTTGAAATCTGTCTCGATAACGTCCAATACTTACTGATAAACTGGGTGCACTGTTGGTGTACTTGCATCATGTTGAAATTGCAACATTTGATTTATGTCTAAGATCAAATCCAGCTTTTTATCATTGTTTTGCATGGATTTACTATAGTGATTATTGCAGCTAGTGATTCTAAAGTTTAAATTGGGAAATAGCATTTTAAATGTGTGGTTTAGATAAAATTACATGGACATCACACTGACTTGAACTATGTCTTAATACATCTTTTTAGGATGATCGTTTTTAGTGAAGTAGAGTTACTGGGATCAATTACTCAACTTGATTACATATTAATGTATCTTACATGTCTAGTCCCTCTGATTCTGTAGTAAAAATACATATATGTACTGTAAAACCCCATTTGAATCTGCATTGGAAAGGTCAGGCTTGAGGCTGATGTACACAGCTCTTATAGTAACTTTAGGAGAGATTTACAACCAGCCTTATTGATATTTACAGTAAAACACTGTTAAAACTGTGCTTTGGACACCTGCTTAGTGTGCATCACTGTAGCTAACTATAGCTTGTTAGTGTAATAGGGCTTTTTATATCTTTATTTCTGCCAATCTTTTTTTATATTTCTCTTCATGTACTGTCATACCAGCCGTGCTCCTCCTCTATGTTTAACACAAGTCATCATCTATTCGTATTCCCCCTTTTGTAATTTCAATTTATAGAATCTGGACTCTGTTTTATATAAATGACCCTAATGCTGTGCAAATCTGGGGGATAAATGTTTGCTTTTAGTGTCTCATTACTAAGATTGACTAAAGAAGGAGACAAGTCAGTAATGTTGCAGGATGGCTGAACTGATCAGATGGCTCTTACAGTTGGCGACACTACTCAGATTTAACAAACTCCTCAGCAACTTGTATATAGTTTGTGTGAGATGCTTTGGGAGGCATTTCTGCCCCAGTCCTGCTGTTTCTCAGTATAATGAGGGTGCCGCGTTAACATTCTTGGAAATGAAAGTTGTTGCATCACAGTAACACCGGGTACAAAAACATGGGCTCGTGGCTGCTTCTCAGCACTTACAGATAATTACCATTATTATACATTATTAAACATATTTTCTTCAATCTAGAGAAAACGATTAATAGGCCTGGGAATCTCTTCAGAACTACAGTATTTCATTAGAAAGCCGTTTTGGTCACGTTTTACCTTTTATCAAAAACCTTAAAGTTCAGCTATTTGCATATTGCACTTGCTATTTTGCAATTTCAGTAATATTTCGATTAATAGTGCGCCCTACTTGTAATGAAGATTTGCTACCAGCAAAAAGTGTTTGAATACAGATCGACTTAATATGTATCAATAGTTTGAAAATGCCTCAATTTTAAAAGATCTCGTTAACCCCAAACACACCCAGTTCATATCTGCAGGAAACCCCTCCACCCAGGTAGCCAAAGTAATCTGGCATATTTTTGCATGCTATGTTTTTATGCCTATAATGTTATG